CAATCCCCTTCCCCGTGGGATTCCCCCCCCCATGGGGGGTGGGCTGCCTGGGGCAGCCTGTACATCACCCCCGCTCCGGGTCCTGTGCACAAAACGGGGTCGGGGGCTTTTTCCAGTGGCTGCTGCTTGAGCTCAGCCACGTCCCCGGGCTTTGCCCCCACGGGAGCTGTCACCGCGCTTGGCACAGGCGGGTGCAAACCCTCTCCTGGGCACAACACGGGTGCGGGGACCAGGCTGTAAGGGCAACTGGAACAAATTACCTTTCCCCAGTGCAATGAGAGCAGGGCTCCGGGGCGACGCGCAGGGCGATGAGCTGAAGCGATTTTTCTCTCACAGATGAGGCTCTTGTGGTTGTGGGAAAAGGAAAAGGGAAAATATTATGGCCAGATTTTGAAGTGGCTCCAAGCAGGCTCCAGTGCTGCAGCTCTGAGGACACCCGTGCCTGGCTTGCACGCCTCTCCCCTGGGCAAAGGAGGGGTGCACGAACGGGGGTGGTGGGCCCGGGTGCTGCGTGCCCCCCTGCCACTCCGGCAGCCTGATTAGCAAGCGTCTCCCTCCTCCTTTGAACGCAGGGGCTGGATATCACACACGATATGAAGGTCTCCCGTCACCATAACGCATTCCCCACTGCCTGGAAGAAGCACGAGCTACTGCCCTTTTCCCCTGTCTCCGGATGGAGCCCAGGGCACAGAGAGGGTGCCACAGTCACCCCGAGTCACACAGGACACGAGCCGCAGGGCTGCTGGCTGGCCTTGCACTACCCAGGCTGCAGGCTAGCCGTCCAGCCCAGAGCATCCCTTCTCTGCCACTCTCCTTGTACCGGTTTGAAATACGTAACTGGGACAGAATCGCTCCTGAATTCTTTGGTTTGCATGAGAGCAGCCGGGTGAAGAGGCGGCTGCAGGGAGAGCAGTGCCGGGCTGTGTGAATCCTGGCTTCTGAGCTCACGGGAAGCTGAATTCGATGTGTCTCATGAATTCCTGAGGACAGGATAAGCCAAGGATATCTAAATCCTTTTCAAGGATTTTAATTTGAAGGATGGATTAAACACACTGGCTCTGAGTTACAAAAGACTGGTGTCATAAGCAGCCACTAATAAGAGCTTCAAACCAAAGGAGCAATGACACGGCTTGAAAAAAATCTAGTTTTGTCCTGTGCTAAGTAGCAAGATTAATTTTTGGAAGGTCTTTTTCTTCCCCATTCAGGATCCTGATTCACTTTCACGCATCCTCTGCTTCTGCCTGAGAACAGCAGCAGATTTATTCCTGGGTAAATTGTTTCCCAAAAACTTGGTATTTTATCCTGTGTTCTTCCCAGACCATCAGTAGTATAAGGAATCAGCTGCAAGAAAGCAAACAACATTTCTGAGGGTAAAGATCTACCTGGCACCTGGCTGGGAACCTGTTAAAACCATTCTGGGCATTTGCTTTTCCAGTGCCATCCCCGGGCACGGTTTCAGTCTCAGTTTTGCAGCGTCAGGGTGGAGGAAGCAGGAGGGGATTCCCACCGCTCACAGAGGCTTTTGGTTTCCCTCGACCCCGAGGAAATCCCCGGTGCCTGAGAGCCGAGCGGCCGCAGTGGGGGTGTATGCGCAGCCTGACGGCAGCTTGCAGCCAACTTCCCCCTGGGAGATGCTCCAGAGGGGGCCGACATTCCTGGGGAAAGTCCTCCCTGATGCTGGAGGACCCTATGCCCATGGGTCACACGCATTGGCCCCTTCTTGCTGGCAGCTGGGGTGGCCATGCCAAGGCTGGCCGGGGAAGCTGCAGACCTCAGCTTCTAGTGCAAATAAATGGAGTTCTCTTCTGTCGACATAGGAAGCTTTGGCTCATACCTGCACAAGAGACATGGCAGAGTCGTTATCCTTCTCAGCTGTCTCCACCAGTATTCAGGTTTGACAGCACAGGAAGCTCTTCTAGGCCAAGGGTTAAAAAATTGGGGAAAAAAAAAAATCCCTTATTAACATTGGCAGGAAAATTCCTGTTTCATTTGGATTCCGGGAGTCCCCTTTGCAGCTGCTGTGTTACGGCAGTTTAAGCATGACAAGGGCTATTAGCAAAACCTCTTTTTTCTTCTTGCCAGGAAATAAATCCCTTTCTGTTGAAGCCAAACATGTTCCAGGTCAACCACTCGGCTGGTACAAATCACCGCAGCTCCACTGAATCCAAGGAAGTGCGGCAGGAGACCCTGCTTGGGCTCCCTGCCCTGTTCCTACAGGGGATGTCAGTGAATTTGAGCTGGATTAAAAATAACATTTGTTACGAAACTAGGGGAAACCTAGAAAATAGTTTGCAGGAGAAGAGTTGTTAAGTGACAGCTTAGTTCCACCTCTTCTATGGTAAGTAGCTGGGCTTGACAGTCAGGATGTTGGGTTTTACAATTAAAATGAATGGGAAGGTTTGGTGCCAAATTCTGCCCAGGAACATTTCCTGGGTGGGGGGGGAAGCTCCTGCATGTGCTTGGCCTCTTCTTACAAGAAAGCAAAGCCAGGCACAGCCCTGGAGCCGCTGCTCCTTGCCCACTTTGCTCCCTTGCTGAGACCTGGGACAGCGCTGCAGCAAGCTGTTCAGCTCCAGGGATGCACTATTTTGCCTTGTGTTCCCATCCATCTCCTGGCAGAGATGAGAAATATTTGCTGGCATGGTCGATCTGAGGAGCACCCACGGCAGGCAACCCCTTGCCCTGTCCCTGCTGCAGCTCTGCCTCTGGGTGCCATCAGGCGATGCCAGCCTGGCCCCTGGGGGCTGGGGACGACCCCCGGCGAACCAGAGCAGCCACGGCAAGCCCAGACTCGGCTGAAGACTTTTGGTTTAGCTAATGCCTGTCGCCTCCAGGAAAAAGGGCTGGAAAGGGAACTGGAGGAAAGGCGAAGGGCAGAGTTGGGTGTTTCATTTTCTACCACGGGACAGGTCCGAGCAGGCACTCCGAGCATCCCCACTGCTGTTGAGTCAGACGCGTTTGCTCGCCCAGGTGATGGCTCAACCCCTCCTTCCAGCTGCAGGCAGCCCCTGGGAGGTGCAGCGAGTCCCTCACCCTTGGACTCTGCTGGTGCTGCCAAAGTCCCTGCTCCCCGGTCGCTGCTCCAACCCCAGCAGCCAGTCACGGTTTGCACACAGGTAGAAACCAGTCAAACACAGAGGGAAGGGTTTTATGCAGGGGATAGGAATGAATCCAAACATTTCCTAAACTCCCCTGCACGTGCCTCCCACCCCGCAGGGGCAAAGGGACCTGAGCTTCCCACCGGCCGTTTGCTGCCACCGTGAGCCTCAGTAGCACAGTCCCCTTCCCCAGGGTGAGGGTTTGGGGGAGCAGGGGCTCTCCAGCGAGCCCAGGGCAGTGATTTATGTGTGTTTGCACTCGGGTGTGCCAGGGAGGGGTGGGAAGAGCCAAGGCAACTCTGCCTGTCAGTCTGGCAGGAGCCTCCCAGGTGTAAATACCCGTGTCTGAGCCCGGCTGGACGGGGATTATCGCCCTGCCTGGCTTTGGCCGCAGCCCCGGAATGTTGCTCACTATGGGATGTGGGGTCTGGGTGACAACCCATAAATCACCCTGGGGACAGGCAGGAAGAGGTGGATGGAGGGGCGGTGTGTCTGACTCTTCCCACAAAGAGCTCCTTGATACCATCTAATGCTCGGGCTCCCGAGGCCCCAGGCTTCCCGTATCGCTGCTCCGCACGCTGCTGCTGGCGAGCAGCTGACTCAGCCGATAACCAGAGGATTACAGCTCCTCGTAAAACCCAAGGTCAAAAAACAGTAGGAAAATCAGAGCATAACAACTACCCCCAACAAAGGGCTGGGTACAGCCCCAACATGGAACGTTGGGGTCCTTCCGCAGCTCTCTGTGCACTTCCAGGGGGGCAGTGAGGTGGGGGGTAATGTGTTTCCCCCTCCATCCTATTTCTCTGAAGTGTAACAGGAGGGAAATGTTGGGCATGTCTTTCCCAGGGCAGCTCCACACGCTCACAGCCAGCCCCACAGAGCATCTGCTGGGGTCCCTCCTGTCCCCATCCCAGCTCTGCCACCCCAGCTGCTGTCACCTCCACAGACAAATGTGTCCTTTTACCCTGCACGTTAATGGCAGAGGTGACTGCTTAAGACTGTTTTTCATCTTTCACCTAAAAGAAAAAGAAATATCCCTGCTTCCTCTTGCAGAGCCGCGTCTGGAGAGGGCTGGGGGGAGCCCTTTTGCCTGAGATCTTGCCTTGGCGTTTAGTAGCACCCCCAGGTTTGGTGGATGGAGTTGTAGGCTCAGTACAGGGCTGTTTGGAGAAGGCACACACCCCCACATGCATAAACACAGAACTCAGTTACATTTATAGAAACATACCAAAAAAAAGAAAGAGAAGCTTCTCTCAGCTTCCCATTCCCAAACCCCTCATGAACCCAAACACGGGGCTGGAGGCGAAGCCCTGGAGCAGGAGGAGAGGCTGTGGGCAGAGGTCTGCAGCTCCAGCCTTCCCCACGCTGGCACCTCCTGGGCAGAGCACTGGGGCTGTCCCGGGCCAGATCCAGTCTCTCATCCATCAGGTAGAGCCCTCCTGCCCTGGGCCCACCCTGCTCCGTGAAGCCTTGGGGAGAAGAAGTACGGTAAAAGTGGGAGTAAGATGGCAAAGATAATTTATCTGTCTAGCCTCTTCCTCTTCATCATCCAACACAGTGATACAGAGAAGCTAGAAAAACATGAAGTCCTTCAAGCACTTTTAAAAAGGGAAAAAACCCCTAAAAACCACCCCATTTTTCGGTCAAACTTTCAAAGGCTCAAGGCTTGCAAGCCACTCAAAGCTAATGCTGGTGAACTGTGCAAAAGTGCTGGCGCGGAGAGGTAGGACACAGAGAGCTCCTCAAACACGAGCGTCAAACGTCTCCATCGCTCTGGACCCAAAGTGCTGTAAGTGCTCCCTGCTGCAAAGTCACCACGGCTCTCAAATACCAGGAGTAGGGGCAGCCCCGCTTAACCTGCAGGAACAAAACCAAAGGCTTTAGACGAGAGAGGGACTGCCTGGGCTCATGCAGTCCCAAACTCCAGTTTGGGCTGGGCACCAATCTCTGGGCTTGTTCCTGTGCTTCTTGGGATAAGCTCTTCCTATCAGAAGCACTCCAGACCTTTCTTATCCCCTTATTCACGGTGGACACGCTGCAACACCACAGTTGGTCCTACAAACCCAGGGCTGGGGTGATTCACCAATTTCTTTTTTTTTTTTTCTCTTTTAAAATCTGATCTGAAACTCCTTGACATTTTGATATGTGTATGCACATTGGTGATTTGCATTAAGATCCTCAAAAAAAGGTTGCAGAGGAAGAAACCCAGGGGGGGTTGTCAGCAGTAGGATGCTGGGTTTTGCACAGAGCTCCATCCAGAAACAGAAAGCATCTACTTTGTGTCAGCCAGCAGCTGCCAGGGCTGAGCAGCACGGCAGAAAGGCTAGAAAGAGGGTGTAGAAATGACATAGCATTTGCAGATCATGCTTAAACTTCCAAGAAAGATGAACTGTCTTCTGCTGCCAAATCACGACGTAAACTTGGTGCCGACAAAACCCCCGTGTGACCCAGCCCGTGAGTCGCTGTGGTTATGCTCAGCACCAGGCACGACTCCCCACGCCGGAGCTCATTCTCCCAAGGAGCCCACCCAGACCCACCGCCCCTTCCCAGGGGAGCAGGGCCACATCCTGGTGTTAGGGGCAGGAGCAGCGTCTCTGGGCGCTCTTAACTCACCGCTCGATGATGCTGTTGTTGAACTGGAGATCACAAGTTACCGACTTCAGCTGCTCCAGGAGCTCCTGCATCCTGCCGGGGACACAACCAGCCCCTTACCCCCATGCTGCTCGGCCTCCTGCTCCCCCCCCCCTCGCGGGAGCACCTCCTGTGGAAGGGCCGGCTGAGGCCGCCGGGAGCCGAGCTGCCTGCCAAGCCCTCTTGCAACAGACTCACCGGAAAGCCATCTCCTGGCGTGCCTGGCTCAGGTGGGCGAGGGAGGGCGTGGGAAGAACTGGGGCCAAACTCCGTTTTTCTGTCTGCAGAAACCTGTCCAGAGCCTGCAGAGACAGAGACTTGGCAGCCCCCAGCAGGCAGTGGGCTGCTTGGCACGAGGGGGACAAAACACTCGGGGAAATTATGCCTACGTAGTCACACCCAGCACATCCACTTCTTCAGAACAAACAGAATAAAATAAGCAAAGGGCCGGGGCATCTACCAGGTGGCTGTGCCGCAGCTGGTCAGACAGGCCATCGGGAGAGCTGGAGCATCATTCTCCTACTCCTGCGATTCCTGTTCGCGGGGTAGAGATCCCCCCGTGCCAGGCAGCCCTTGGGACCAGGGGTGCCGCTGCCAAAAGTTTCCCCATTCCTTGCTCTGCGCATTGGGGGGAAGCAAGATCTCCGGTGTGGATCACCCACAAAGAACAGCAGCAAGTTTTTTTTAGAAGTGCTCTGGTGTTTCCCTACTTATGGCCTCAGGCGTGCGGTGGGGGCTGGGAGCGGGGAGCGTTTTCTGGAAGCAGGGAGAGGCTGTGGGGCAGCATCCCCGGCACCTACGCTCTGCAGGCTGTCCTGGCACTCCATCGCCTCCACGCTGCAGGCGCTGATGCGGTTGCTGAGCTTCTTCAAATGCTTCTTTATCTCACAAACTTTCCTAGAAAGAAAAACGGTGACGGAATTCCCAGTCAATGTTCGGCAGCAGTGCGGATCATTACAATTTATTTATTATTTTATTTTTTTATTGCTTTCTGCAAACATTTCTGGATCGAAGTGAAAATCCTGAAGGAAAGCAAATGAGTCACAACAGTGTTGTAATTAGGGCTGGAGCTCTGCTAATAGCCACCATAGGCCAGGTTATCCAAACAACACTAACAGCAAATTAATTAGGGAAAGCGTTGCTTGTATGAGAGAGCGCTCAAGCCCATCACTTCTGCCCTAAGTGCTGCACAAGCCGGTCCTCCGTGCCCCGTGGAGGACTGAGCATCTACCCAAAAAGGCTCCTTGGTTTTGCATTTCTTTTTGCATGCTTTCCTTTCACATTTGAAGCCTGGGGAGGCCAGAGAGGTCCCCCCCTCGAGCACATCCTTGGGGCCGGTCCCTCTGCAGGCAGCACTGGTGACACCAAAGCCCAAACCAGGCGATGGCTCCTGGGCCAGGACGGTGCCACCCACGCTCCTCTGCTCTGCCCCAGCCTCACCAATAAACCCTCATGTGT